GATATTATGTAGATTTGCATAATCTTTGGATTACCATAAGTGAAACACCATTTGCAGGTCAGCACTCATATTTATTCACTAGAGACTGGCCTCTTCAGTATACAACAAATTTACACCACCTTGTAAGTCATGTAGAACATATTTCATTAATATTTACTGCGTAGTTAAAGACAGACTCGTACTATACTCATAATTGGTAGCTTAAAATGTTTCCAGACATCTTTCAACCCCCTAATGACGCTGATGCGTTCGAGTACGCATACAGAAGTTGGATCGTAAATCAACTTTGGGAGGAGGACTTAAACAATATAATCCGGATGAAAACGTAATTACTTGGAAAATCGCCAGAAGTTTAAGACATTTAAAGTACATTCTGCAATTCTGAGATATCGATCTTTATATTTCTGCAATGAACTTAGAAAGATTGGCAAAGATAAAATAATATTAATTTAGACATGTTTCTATTCAACAATTTGACAATATTATCAAGTAAGTTATTTAATATTAAATGTTTATATTTACAGTGTGTTGTGTATTTCAAATTAGTAATTTTATTAATTTTCGATGTCACCACTGAAGCAGGTTTGAAATTAAACTTGAAACTCTGCAAATACGCGTTACTACGGTTTATAATAATTATTTATTTAATTAAATTTGCAGGTGTCTATCTTAAAGATTTTGACGAGAAGTTAAGAAAGCATAACTCTCCATTAACAATGGATTCTGCAACTGTGGCGACTTCCGGTATTGTATCGACCGGTTCTCATGGTGCAAGATGTGCAAATTCAAATACTCCAGATTCTAGCACACAATGGTGAACTTGAAGAGTTTTCTGATGAAAAAGATCCTATCGAAATGAGTGCCGCTAGAATTAATTTTGGTATATTTAATATTTTTCGTTTTATTATTAATAAAAAAACATAAGTTGTATATATATATTTATCATTTTCGCTTTAAATATTTATTACATGCCAAAGGTCTCTTTGGAATTATATACATGTATAAGCTCACTTTTCAAGTCGAACCAATGTTTAATTTGGTAATGAAAGATAACTTTCCAAACATTTCGGATTATTGGAAAGCGGAAAACCCTAGAAATATTTTATTGGCCATTCAATACACCTAGTCTTGAAAACAGAAATTATAAACTTTGGGTAAAAACTTGCAAGAGAACTGATTTAAGTGTTACAGAAAATGAGGCCGAAGCGAATGTGGTGTCTGTCTTCCAAAATTTTGAACTCAAATTTGGAGAATATCTTTATGAATTCATTTCAAAGCATCCAGAATCTACACCATTTATTACTCATCTTCTCTTTAATGTTGGATTTCATGAAAGTGAAAAGATTGTACAACCACCTATCACAATTCATTATCAGGTGAGAGTCTCAATACTTTATTAAATTTTAAATGCTTTTTAGAAACCTATAATAATTAGTTCTCTGGACTTTTTTATAGGCAGGTATCGATAACCTTCCTTGCATGGACCTTGAGTTTGCCTTCAAGATCAACGATGTAAGTAGACAGTTTAGTACAAATATAAATTTAATAGCATGCACAAAAAACTGACAATTATATTAAACATGAATAAAGGATTTTTCAAATGTTATCGAAGAATTCAATTATATTATTAAACGGGTAATATTTATAAAACATTTTGTGATTTTATATCCATATATAACATTGCTAATTTTTTTCTTCGTTTCTAGATTTATGAAATGGCTGCAGATAATAAATTTCCGGTAAATATTGCCGCCGAGTTTCGTATTACAGTATTAATAAGGCGATTAATACGTAGATATGCATAAAACATATATATACGTACTTGACGTAGTTTATACGTAGTAAAACTATATAAATTTACGTAGTATTTCTACATATGGATTTCATAGGTGTACTCTAATAACAAAAATAAAGAATGATGTTGTCTTAACGATGAATAGCCACGAACAAATTTTTTCATAAATAATATCGTATTAAAATTAATTTGTAAATTTGTGCAATTACTATAGGTCAGACATATTACTGTGCATTTCATTTCTTCGTTTATTAGCAAACATCTAAAAAAATTGTAGTACATGAAAATATAAGGAAAAGTGTAAACACATGGGATTCATCAAGCTTAGTAAATTCAAGGTGAAAAAAATCTAATTAACTAAAGCATACTTTAACTAACTAATTTTATTAAGGTCATGACTTGACGGAAATATTGTGCTCTAATGAGTTTTTCTCTTCGTTAATTAATCATCTATAAATTAGTCGGCATACTTTTCTTGTCACTATAGCTTCTCGAATCTCAAATCTTATCATTGAAGTAAGCTTTTAATTCGAAACTAAACTTGATTTAAATTGACCAAACCGAGGTCAAAATTGGTTGTCTACAGAGATGCTAAGCCTCTAAAAAAAAAAAACTATCAATACAACATGAATTCGGTATAAAATTTTTGGGGAACTGCACTAGAACTAATACGTACGTAATGCACATATCAGTATAGCACATGCAGTACAGGTATATATAAATAAACAATTTCCTTTTTAGTTTAAAATGGAAAAGCAGCGCTCGCAGGGATACACAGAATTACAATTCATCAAATTAAAAAATGCATTTGCTCAAACAAATTCGGAAACAAACAAAAGACAATACCAAACAAAATCTTATAGTGGTTAATTAAATTACAGTGGTTAATTAATAATAAAAATTTTTTAATTGTATGCCGTTTCGGCAATTTTTTTTTTTAAATAAAGAGGGGGTTTAATAGGCTCGCCATTTTTAATTTTAACACGATATTTGATGGTTATTATCACAAAATAAGACTCTACCTCTAAAGTTACGCATATTCAATAAATAAATATCGCTCTTTTGATTTCTTTTTATATGAGGTAGTAGGAACTTCCATTTTAGCATCAAAATTTGTTTGTATTCTAAGAAATAAGCCTGGCTTCAAGTTCGGAAATTCAGATTGCATGTTTTAGCAATAGATTTTATATATTTACTATCATTTATTTAAAATACGTAGATTCATTAATTGATAGACGCAAGAATAGTAGAATCGTCTTCATGTTTATGAAGAGTACTATCACGTTTAAACCTGTTTTTGGATTTATGCAAGGATTCCACATGATGTTGGAGTTTTATAACACGATTCTAGAAAATACGTAGTAAAGAGTTAATACTAAACAATAATGGTAATGAATAAAACCCTTTCAATACCTTAAACATGAACATTATGCGAATGATATCGGATATATTCCCTAATTGTAATGGTGTATCAGGAATTATGAATCCATCGCATTGATCAACGAAATAAATTCCATTCACACAATGCATTGAATAAAGAAAGAACTCTTTTTCTGTATTATTGAAAATATATTGAGATTAATAAAAGTTACATAAGAAATTAATAAGCTGAATTACTACATACTGTACACAAGTAATCCGAAAGTTTCCAATTCTTCGACACCTGGCACATTTTTGGGCAATATTTTCCGAAGGTTTGAAAGGGCTAACCGCATGGCTATAAATCAAATAATTCTTTTAGAAATTTTTATGATAAAAATAAAAAAATTCAAGTTATACTGAAGTTATGCTTTCACCTTTTAGTATTTTCTCTCGGTCCTCACTCAACTTTTTGTCATCTTGTTTAAATGCATTCCCAATTACCTCTCCAAACGCTATTTGAAAATCCTTATTTCCGACTTTCATGGTTAAAACGGCGTCATGATACCAGCCACCTACACACGATTTACGTTTATCCACATTCCTTGTGAGATCCAATTGCTTTTTCCTATCAATATTTTCAATTTCTCCTCTGGTTAAATTCGAAATATACGTAAATATATAACCCTTATTTAAAAAAAAAAGACGGTTAAAGTGAAGTAATTACGTTTTCATCCGGATTATATCGTTTAAGTCCAATAAAATCTCCTCCCAAAGTTGATTTACGATCCAACTTCTGTATGCGTACTCGGACGCATCAGCGTCATTAAGGGGGTTGAAAGATGTCTGGAAACATTTTAAGCTACCAATTATGAGTATAGTACGAGTCTGTCTTTAATTACGAAGTAAAAAATATTTAGAATATGTTCTACATGACTTACAAAGTGGTGTAAATTTGTTGTATCCACTGAAGAGGCCAGTCTCTAGCGAATAAATATGAGTGCTGACCTGCAAATGGTGTTTCACTTATGGTAATCCAAAGATTATGCAAATCTACATAATATC